AGGGTCTGAGGAAGGGTCACCAGACCCGAAACGTTAACTCTGATTTTGACTCAATTGCTGTCAGACCTGCTGAGCTTTACCAGCAATTTCTGTTTTTGTTCCCAATTTACAGCTTCGGCAGTTGTTTCGGCTTTTATTTAATGCTTTGGTGTCCAGTCTCTCACTGGAGGAATATCAAAGCAAGGCCAGAGAATGAGAGATTCTGTAGCAATGCACTCCTCATATCAGGTCAACCTTGGATTCAGACACTAAACTGAAATTAATCCAGCATTGCCTGGAAGCTCTGATAGAATGAAAACTTTTGGTGCATGACAGAACAGCAACACATGTAACCAACTACACAAAACTTAAACCTTTTACAAAAATTAGAATGGGCATGTGTCTATTAGAAACACATTTTGCAAATCTACCAGAAACTGTCATAAAAATTTAGTGGTCTGAAACAGCCTGATCTTAAACGAACACGAGCCTGTGCACAAGTGAAAGCAACAGCTGCAGGGCCAAAGATGGCCACTGGGGTAGTTGGGACAACTGGACTTTGGAAAAATGAGAATTTGCACATGGTAACTTCTGAAATTGATTTGTTGCCCTTCCAACATTTGTCATGTGGAGGGCAATGCAAAAATGAGAAGTGAATGAAAACTGAAGAAACTTGCATTTTCTTACTGAAATCTCTATCCATGACATCACTTGGAACAAGAGTGAAATTTGCAAATCCTGCTGAGTCCCAAACTATTTTTAATCTTTTACAGTTTGCAACTGCTACATGTTTGAGCATGACAGGCCACAACTGAAGCAGCTTGTTTGATTCCAGTTGCTACCAAGAAGAAACACTACAGTAGACACTTCAGCATCAATATCCAATTGGTTGAGCAAACTGTTTGATATAGACTGCCATCTTTACACAGGAAATTTGCCTTAAGGAGTGTATTAGGACAAAGGCATAATCATCCAATTCAAAAACATCGTCTCAAAAATATAAATTTATTTCAAACTTAAGTGCTTAAATGGCAGGTTCTATTTGTTACTTTGTGTAAACAGGTAGGAATTAGAAATTAGAAATATTATTTCCACATGCAAAGTGGAAACAGGAGGCCCCCTTTAATCCACAGTGCCAAGTTGATTGATATGCCCTTTTTAAATTCATATGGAGAAATGAAATACTTCAAACCTGAAACTAAATTCTAATGTATGTTGTGGTAAGACAAGTCTCCCTTTGAAATTTTGGGGAAGAAAAATGCTCCATGCGAAATTAACTGGTTAAAATACAAAATTCCAATTGTCAAAATAAGTTCTCTCCCAACATGCATAACCATGCCATTTTCCTGTGCACTGTGATGTAATAGCCTAAGATAATGGAAACAGCTCCAAGTTTCCGTTTGGATACTGAAGTTAGTAGCATGTTAAAAACAATTTACAAAAATAATTATTTCATAGAAATGGCTGAAGAAAAAAATTACAACCAACATATTTTCTTTCCTCAGGCATAATACTTCTTTTGTAAACCCCGCAAGCAAAGTAAGAAAACTTAAGTGTAACATGAAATCCATTTTGGACAGTATGTTAGACTGCTGTCAAATATAGCAGAGCAGCAGTTTCCAAATGAAGCAAGACTTTTAACTTGCCAGAATTAAACAGTTGCTGGTAAATACTTTTGCTTAAAATAGTTTTGCTGTATAGCTCATACATATAGCATAGCAGTGTGCTATATCACTTACTTCGAGTCCTGTGCATTCACAATTCCAGCTGCTTCCGTCCAACATCAGACTTACCCTGCCTCCATACTGGAGCATCGGTGCAGGTAGCACTCGACCTGTAACTTCAGTCATTTCATTATGAACGACAATACCAAACTCCTTTAGATATGGATCTGGCCCGCCAATCATACTGTTACTCTTCACCTTTCAAAACAAAAACACAGGACAATACCAAAAGTTATTTCAAAAATGTTCCTGCTAAAAGAACTTAATTGCAACCATTTACAAGAGAATAGATGTGCTTCGTAGCATTTGAACAATTTGACAAGTAAACAAAGGAAGCATATATTGGGTACTTCTTTCTGATCTTTCACAACAAAAGAGTTGCCGTGCGAATGCTCAGATACCCCCAGATTTGTACAAATGAAATAGAATATCTTCACAGGTGTTTATGTTTGAACAGACCCATGTTTTGCAAGAGTAACAGGCAGTGTATTGCAATTGGGAGTATAAAAAAAATAGCGTTGGAGATTCAATAGTACCAATCATTGTACAGAAACAGTGAAGATTGGTCCAGTGCAGATACAACACAGTTTATCGTACAAATTTATGGACTCTTATTCTGAGGAGATGGACACTGTTTACAGCAAATAAGAAAGCAAACTCTCATTTTTATAATGAATGTTTAAATGAGAAGGGTAAGTAACACAACTTTGGCAAAATACATTAACAATGACTAAACAGAAAAAGCACAATTTTCTAAAACACAGACTTGCATTTTAGCCCTTGAATTAAAAAGCACATTGCGGCTAGTTTAGTTAAATCACCTTTAGGAGTTTCTGACATTAAACAATTTAGAAAGATGCACCTTCCATAACTTCTGTTTGTTTGGATTTGTAGTAATAATGCTTCACTCGAAATTTTATTCGGAAGGGCTATTAGATTTTTAAAAAATACTGCTTTCTCAGCTGGAAACAGTTCAAAGCATAGTCTTGCAGCAGAATTTTGATTTTTTCCTTCCTAATTTTCTTTCAAAGGGTAAATTCTGCAGATGCTAGCAGGCTTTCAGAAGAATTATTATTTTGGCTATGTACAGATATGAAGCGATCACAGGTGAAGCAAGTAACATCAACCACAGGCACACAGATAGATATTCCAACAAGAATCATTAAATACAAGTAGGAATCTTGAAATGATTATTTTCCTTGCCTTAGTCAGGACCATTGCACAAACTGGTGACCAGTTCATTCAAAGATCAAGATTTAAACAAACAATGGACCTTTAACATCACAGAGGCTAAACGCCAACTCTCCGAAACCACATCTCACCTCCCCCTTGACCCATCAAGCCACCACCTCCCACACTGTCCATGACCTCATCGCTTTCGGTGACCTCCCCTCCACCGCCTCCAGCCTTATAGTCCCCCAGCCCTGCACTGCCCAACTCTAACTGCTTCCCAAGATCCACAAATCCAACTACCCCGGCCAACCCACCATCTCCACAAGTTCCTGCCCCGCTGAACTCATCTCTTCCTACCTCGACTCCATTCTCTTCCCCCTTGGTCCAGGCACTCCCAACTTACATCTGGGATGCAAACCATGCCCTCCAACTCTTTGGTAACTTCCAGTTCCCTGGCCCCCAGTGTTTCGTCTTTATTATGGACATTCAATCCCCTTACACGTCCATACCCCACA